AGGTTGTTTTCCGTGATGACCACTTGTCATTCCACCATGGGCTCATTGCCACGAGAAAATCGTGTTCGACGGAGTTTGCGGCCGGTCGCGGGGCCATCGGAACTCGCGCAATGGGATCCACGTGTGTCGTCCCCCCAGAGGGCTGGGACGGGCTCGGGGCTCGTTCTCTCTTCACTTGGTTGGCGGCAGTTGCCGAGAGAGTGGGGCCAAAGGGCCCCAAAAACCGGCGGCGGACACGCGCCTTTCTTTGGTAGCCTCTGTTGCTCAGTGCCGCCCTTTTTCCCCCTTCTTACCTCTTAAAAACACAACTTTTCAACTTTTTGGGTAACATGGGCTATATGTTTGTAAAAGATTAACTCCCCAGGGCTTGGAGTTTTAAGGGGTAAGTCTTTCTCTGGGCAAGGGTCCCCCTCTAGACTCAACCGACACAAAAAGCGCCCTTTCTTTCTTTTCCAATGGCCACTGGGCATTTGAGTAGCGGAGGTCGGCATCTCCTGAGTTGGGCTTGTCTCAAAATTAGTGGGAGTCGCCCACTGGGCGTTCCAGAAGGTGAGTGTTTACCAAGTAGAAAAGAAGAACTGTGGGCTCCAAATGGAACTCCCAACTTGGGTCCCCCTCTAACTTTAACGACCCGAAGGGTAACCTTCAAAGGAAACAACTCCATCGTCACAATCAAACCTGATACTGAACGCGTCAACCCGTGCACTTGAACATCATGTGAGCCCCGGTCAAAATTGTTTGTTTCCCTGGAGGACGGGGGACATTTAGTGAGTGTCCCAAGTCCCCAGATCGACTAATGGGTGTGTCCTGATTTTCGCGGGCCGGTGCCTTTTTTGTATCTCAAAGAGAAACCAAAAGGAACCTTTCCTGAGTTGGCCTTATTTTTTGCTTTTTTGGGTTTGGACCATTTTAGTGGCAAACAAGAAGTTTGGCCAGTCCAGCCTTGGTGTGATTTGTTGACCACGTGTTCCCCTTTGTCAGCACCTTCGGCCCATGGATCTCAGAACCCCGAGAACCGGGGGGGGGGGGGGGGGCGTCCTATGCGTTTTGAACACGGACAACGATTAGCTTCGGTTTGCCTATAGGTTTCCCTGTAAACCAGGGTAAGAAAGCAGGGCACCTTAAAAGATACATTTTGCAACCATTTGAAACATGTGGCTTTTTCAACACCAAAAGAAAGCATTTACAAGGCAATCTTCAGGTGTCTAATGTGAGGATCCATCCCTGGAAAGGGTGAAACCAACACCCACATGTCCTTTTTGACCACACCACGGCGGTTCCAGCTTTTTGTTTTTTCGGCGGCGCGTGTCCTCGTTTTGGCAGCTGCCAGTCTCCCGCCGTGAAGGGTTTCGTGGCGCGATGATCGGATCGGCTCGAGTTGGACCGAGCAGTTTGGTTGATGCAGACCGCCCGCTCCGGGGCGAACGGCCCGGATTTCACTCGCGCCTTCGGCAAAACCCAACAGCTGAGTCTCAGAAGAACGCTTCGGCCCATGTGTGGTCCAAAATCGAGAAAAAGAAAAGAAAAGAAAAGAAAGAAGAACAAATACAGGTTCTTTCATTGATCCTCATCTCCTATGAGGGCTCAACATGACGGGTTGATACATGTCCAGCGGTTTCCCCTGGATAAACATAGAATAATTGTAACTACATAACCTGTGGCCCTCATGCCTTCCAGTTGATTATTATTGGAAGCTTATATAGGGGAAATCTAAAATTGCGGTTTTCCTTTCAGCTTGCCTTCAAGCCAAGGTGCAAAGGGTACTTGCTGGGTCTCAAAAGGAACCCCACAGCCGCTTTCGCGCACGTTGCTTGAATCGATCTTTGCCGAAGGCCTCCGGGTCTTATAGAGATGCGAGCTGTAGGATTCACTCGCAACTTCGCAAGGAGGGAGCTTGACGAGTTTTTTCACAGGGTCTGTCTAGGGGTTAGACCCTGAAAGCGTTGTGGTTTTCCTTTTGCCTTTAAACCGACCTGAAAGAGGATGGTTGTTGGTGGGAAACATTTTTTCGCATTTTTGCTTATTGTGGTTTAGTGGTTGAACTCCAACCACTTAACTGCTAAAATTTGAATGTTTGCTCCCCTTCGCAACGTCAACCAAGTCAAGGGGGAGACCCTGAAGGCGTTGTGGTTCTCCTTTTGGTTTGCCTTTAAACCGACCTGAAAGAGGATCAGAAAGCGCAATTGCCGTCGAGGCAGTCGGATCTTCGGAGAGCCAATTTGAGTAGCGTTTTTTTTGCCCCTCCATTACGTATGTAAAGGTACGGAATTTATTCTTTGACATTCTGAAGAAATGCGCGCCGCGCCACAGTCGCGGAAGCTTTGCGGAAGGGTTTTTTTCCGCGGAAGCTCGCGGAAGGGTTTACGGAGTATGTTTGTTTGTGCTGGCAGTGCAGCTTGTGGAACAAGCACATATGAAGCAGCTTTGTTTTGATTGAGAGACTGAGGCATGCGTTTAGAAGACTAGAGAGAACACGTGGATTGCATGATTGTGTGCCCACTTGGGTCGTCAACTAGGGTCTGCTTAGAAGTTTTTATGCAGGGTGAGGCTTCCCGGGGGGTTCTAGGATCTGTTCTGTCCTTCTTACAACCAGCTTTGAGAGGTGGAGGCGCATGTGCGGAGGCAGAAAGGAAGGTTCGACATGTTCTTGCAAGTGTGTAATGCTGGGCCAGCCTCGTTTTGTCAAAAGCAGGTTTATTGTTTCGGCAAAGGCATGAGGGCTTACACCTTCGTGGTCCACAAGGGGGTAGACCAATGTACTAGCATGGATTTGCAAGCGAAGTTCAAGTTGGTGGTTAGCTTGCGTGGAAAGACATGTTTTTCGGGGATGTTGTTTTCCTATGGAAACCCCTGTCACGCGCCCAAGCCACCAAACTGGACAAGGGCGCTCAACTCCGTGCCATTGGCTTGTGTGGCCGGCCGCATGCTGGCACAGGGCTGCGCAACAGGCATCGGGCCACCCACGCTCATGGAACATAGACATGGAAGAGCAGGCAAGAATAGGGCCAATGAGGATTCTCCTTTCTTTAAACTGCGGAGGGTTTGCAACTGTAGGTTACCTCCCTAGATATGTCGCCAATGTCCGCGCCAGAGCCTGAAGTTCCAAAGCTGTGTGCTGTCCGAGGGTGTATTGGGAAGTTGCTGCGGAAGGAAGCCCAGGGCACCATCCAGTTGCACTGCCTGGCGGCAGCTCATCATCGTGGGTGGCTGGTCCAAGATGATCGTGAGCTCAAGTGGGAGTTCAGCACCCGCGGGAAGCGTTGGCTGAAAGGAGAGGCAGTCCAAGCTCAACGGGGCGGCGCTCCTTTGGAGGCGAGAGGGATGCGAAGTAGGTTTGTCCAGGACTGTCCATCGGGCCAAGCTTTGTTTTCTTATTGACGGGAAACAAATTTGGCTTCACCTCTTAGACAACAAGGGCGTTGTTTGGGCTGGGTCTCGAGCTTCCCACACAATGTTCGGTTGTCGTTTCCATGCTCCTGGAGGCCAAGCAGAAGCCTTCAGAGCCAGACGGGGACGCTTCTTTGTTCGCACTGGTTGCTCCGCCTGGAAACCCTCAGTCTGGAGCTTCCAGGCTCAGACAGCATCATCTTTTGTTTGGGCTGTCGCCTATGTGTGTGTGTGTGTGTGTGTGCGGGGCCGTTGCCCGGAATTGCGATCCTAGGTAGTGGAGGACCCAACTCTGGCGGCTCTTCAGGCGGACCCAGCCAACCCGCCAGCGGAGGTCGCAGAGACAACGAAGCCATTGGAGCCAGCGGAGCCAGCCGCGCAGCCCCTTCAAGCAGAACGCTCTTCCTCGGCATTACGCTCACACGCAGCGTCTTCCGCAGCGGCTGTTCTCAAGGTGGTGGAGAAGGAGGTCATGACCCTGGAGAAGGCCGCTGCTGCCGCGGTTCCAGAAGACACTCCGCCGGAGAAGCCGAAGCTCAACTTCGGTGGCAAGACGGAGCGCGTGGCCACATGCCGCCTTTGTGAGGAAGCTCGCACTTGGGCGCAAAAGGGGTCTTTTTGTGAGTACTGCACGGGTGCGTTCCGTCGTGCTACAGGCCACCAGCGCCTTCACATACTCTTTGAAGACCAGCATTTGGCAGAGTCCGTGCGACAGGAGAGTAAGACAAAGCGTGCTGAAGCTGAAAATGCTTCGCCGCCTAAGAAAGGGCTGGAAAAGAAGCTCGAGGAGTTCCTGCGCCGCTTCGAAGAGGTTCTGCCACAGTTGGAAGCAGCAGCTCGCCATTTTGAAAGTTTGTTGGAAGCCGGGCCGCCTGCGAAGAAGCGCAAGCATTGATCCTGGCTCATTTATAGATGTGCTTGTCTCAGGGTTTATAGCCTTGTGGCTATGTTCTAGGGGATCTTCGGGGTACAAACTTGACAGGCCGTGGTGCGAGTCAAAAAAGGGACCCAGGATGTGCCAGCTAGCGGGGGAATCAAATACTTTTGTTTCTGCGGGCCCTTTCTTACTATGGGCAAGTTTAAAGGGGTGCAAGAAGGTAAGAAGAAGAGTTTGCCCCCCCTAGCTTGTCACATGCCGAACATCGTTCAAGCGAGCTGCAGCTTGCAAGCAGCGCAGCAAGTCCAGCATGGGTCTTCATTTTCTGCAGCAAGCCGCAGTGTCATTCGCAGGCTGACGCCATTTCCGGCTTTAGCTTTTCACCCCAACCGGGTGTAGCGGTGCAGCCTCACAAAGTCAAACGACAAAGGTGCCCCTGCATTGATCAGGTTTTAAGAAGCACTTGCAACCTGCAACAACACGAGCGCCTGCAACAACACTTGCATGTTCAGCCTGTGTGTGTGTGCGTACGCGTGCGTGCGTGTGAAAGAGAGATGTGTGCGTGTGTGTGTGTGTGCGTTTCAGGTAGCAGTAGGGAACCCAAAAACAGAATCCCAAATGCGGATTTTCGCGGAAGCGCCGCGGAAGCTTCGCGGAAGGCCCGCGGAAGGGGCCCCCGACCTTTCCCACCAGTTGCCCTTTCGTAGGCCGCCAACTCGACCACTCTCCACACAGCATGGGCGCAAAAGCGAAGCCATGGCGTGAGCTTGGCGCAAGGCAGCGCCGCATCGTCGCCAACGAAGCCTGCCGCCTCTTACTTCAACGCAGTCGTGACCCTGAGGATGTCCAAGAGATGTTCAACCTGGTGGTAGAGGAGCTTACGGCGAACTGCAGCGATCTCCGCTTGATCCTACAGCGGGATGCTGCCCAGGACACAGCCTGTGGCCTGCTACTAGAGCAGCTGGGGAAGCTACGAGCAACGGTCCCCGCCAGCACAAACCTTGACGTCCCCGTCATCACACTCACGCAGTTGGACTCTGCTGTCACCAAGGTACCCTTGCCGCAGGAGGCCCTCACCGCAGCCGGTTACACCCTGACCAAGCATAGCGCAGCTGCTGCCGCGGAAGGCCCAAAAAGTCAACAGCGCAAGCGAGGCCGCCGCACAAAGGTGAACAGCGTTGAGATGGTCAGCTTGGTCCGCCGTGTGCTTGCCCCACACTTGCAGGACACCGAGCGGGTAGCAGTCGTTGGCCGCGGTAGGAACAAGAAAATGGTCGTCGCCCAGCACTTGCCGAAGAAGCGCTACCGAGTCTTCCTTGAGGAGCCAGAGCTTCACGAGTCCATGTCGTGGTCCACCTTCCACTCCATCATGAAGCGACACTTCCCTCACGTGAAGAACCCCATGAGGCAGACGGACATTTGCGAGCACTGCAAGCATTTGGAGCGTCACTTGCTCCCAGCAGCTCAGAGGGCCTTGGCCAAGCACAGGCTTGAGATCGAAGAGTTCTCCCAGCAGTATTTCCACCCCTTCGACAGCAGCCCTGCGACAATTGAGAACAAGGAGAAGACTGACAAGTTCCCCTTGTTGGCCACTTCTTTGGCATTCGTGCAGCAACAGAACTTCAACGCCGCCAACTCCAGAGAAAGGCAAGCGCTTGGGCTTGCCACCCGACTTGCTCTCCACAGTGCTGAAGCGTCTGCCATCCACACCCTGAAGGGGCATGTGGAGCTGTTGGAAGCTTACCGCTGGCACCAAACCTCTGCAAGGCGGCAAGAAGCAGCGTTGGAACAGCTTGCTTCAGGGGAGTCGCTGCCTGCTTCCGCTGTCCTCCTGCAGATGGATTTCAAGGAGAACGTGAGATACCCGCTCAGTCGCCCAGCTTGTCTTAGCAGTTTTCTCTTAGGCAAAGTAAGCTCAGTCTGTCATGTGGCATGTTGCGTGTTTCCAATGGCCTCCCTAGCAAGGTGCGCAAGAGACAGGAGACGAGTGGCACGCGCAAAACAAACTGTCTCTCACCGTGTTTGGGGTCTTTGCGCGGGTGCCCACACGCACGGGAACACACGTGGACGTGTACCTCCTCTTGGTCTCGGAAGTTTTGGACCATGACGCTCAGGCCGCCAACATGTTGGTGAATGAGGCCATTGCTCTTCTTCGACGTCATCCTGGCACACACTGGCCTGCAGTCAAAAAGCTCATCCTTGCCAGTGATGTCGGACCGCACTTTCGGTCGTACGAAAACGCGGCCCATTTCTTGTGCACGCTCGTGCCTTTGCTGCAAGTGCTTCTACGCTATTTAACGATTTGCCTAAGGTCGTTTTGCTTTGTCTCATAGTTGCTTCCCTGCCTCCTGTGACAGCGCTAGGTGAAAGTTCTCAACGTGGAAGTCGAAGTGCTCTACCTGGCTGAGCATCACGGAAAGGGAGCTTGCGATAGGCTCTTCGCTTGGACTCGCATGTGGGTGTCCCGGTTCATCCAGAAGCACCCTATTTACAACCTGCGGGATCTCACGCAGTGCTACCGAGAAGGCGCGGCTTCGAGGATAGCCGACGACCCGACCACGCCAGCCATCCTTGTCTCAAACTTCGACCCTGGCCGCTTCCGACCAACGAAGCGGAGCTTTCTGTCCGCCGCCACGCTCAAAATTTCACGAACCTACAGCCTGGTAGCCACCTTGGACCGTCATGCCGCGCCTGGTGTGCGCATCGTCAACCATGTTTTCACAGATTTGAGGCAAGGGTCGAGGGTCCTGCCCTGCCACGTGGATGAGGTGGTGTCGGAGGAGAAGGTGGAGTGGCGGCGCGGATACTACGACAAGCCGCGCTCCTGGGAGCAAGCAGGGCCGGAGCCAGGTGATGTTAACCACGTCACCCGGCGCTTTGCTGCTCAAAAGACCTTCCTCCCAGACAGAGAGGTTGCTCCAAAACGAAGCCTTGAAGAGAAAATGTCAGCCAAGGCCAAGCAGCTCAGCAAGCACGCTGCCAAGAAGAAGCGGCAGCTGGCGCACCTCAAACGTCGACTTCGTCCTGCCGAGGCTGAAGGCTCGTCCTCTTCTGCAAGTAGCAGCAGCAGTAGCTCCTCAACCTCCTCGGAGAAAGCCTAAGCGCTTTCCACCGCACGGTCGCGCTCTAGTGGAAAAGCGTCGCAGCCCGCGTCTTGCCGTGACGAACGCTTGCCAGTCGTCAGCAAAACCAACCGACAAGCAAGCAGGCAGGCAGGCGCGCAAGCAAGCGAGCAAGCAAGCAAGGGCCAGCAAGCAAGCGCGCAAGCAAACAAACAAACAAACAAACAAGCAAACAAGCAAGTAAGCAAGCAAACGCGGAAGCAGCAGGTTCGAAAACTATGCTGAGACTGTGGTCGCGGAAGCGAAATGCTTCCGAATGTTGTAAACTCATGTCCGCGGAGGCTCGCGGAAGCGATTTTTCTAACAAAACGCTTCGCGGAAGGTACCCCTGCAGGCCGCGGAAGCGCCGCGGAAGGGTTGGCGGAAGGCGTAATAATTTCAAATGAATTAGAAGGGAATAAAAAACACCACTCATTTGGCGACGTTTTGTGTTATGACACCGGAAGTCATAAGCCCCCCAGTCGATTGGTACACGAGGCTCCCTTTGGCGCATTTTGCTTGGATGTTAGGACTTTAACTTTTTGCCAAGTAATGGGTTTTCCGTATTAAACCACTCAAAGTGAGTCACTTTTCGCAGGGCTTCGCAGATTTCGGATCCGAGCTCAAGCCAGTGGTATTCGTCTATGTCAAAATGTCAAGGCCCTCCGTCACACGCTGCGTGGCGAAATGGCTGGCGGTGTGCCTGCGAGCTCTCGGCAGAAGTGGGATGACCAGGCAATCACCTGTGCCCTCTGGTTACCCTTGGGATGCTAAAGCATTTGGCTGTGGGTCAAAACTGCGTAGCCTAAACTGAACCCTGGTAAATTCAACCAAAGACTAAAACATGGGGTCTCCTAGTTGAATTTTGTATATGGGTATGGGTCAAAATTAAAGCACCAGACAAAACCACAGGAATTCGTCCTGGGTTCCATCTATCAGGGCAAGCCTATTTTTGACCCACAACCATATGTTTGTTCTGCTCGCCTATGGTCGAGTTTTTTTGTTTTTTTAGGGATACTCGTGCATGTGGGGTGCTGAAAAGCCGATTTGGAGGATCCGAATCCTTGAACAGCTGATTCGGCGTTGGATGTATAATTCCCAAACCCTTTTCATGGTTGTCGTTGGGAAGCATTTTACATTTTTGCTTATTGTGGTTTAGTGAGAAATCCCCACTTAACTGTGGATTATGATCGCGAAGTGAAGAGGGCGCCCACACCCCCATTGGCCAGTTGAACATTTTGGCAGGGTACCTGCTTGAACAAGGTCGATAGTAAGGTCCAAATACAAATGGCAGTGGTTGTCAAAACCAAGGAAACCCCTGGTGAACATCAAAATAGGTGGCAAATGCCCCAAAATGGGATCGCCATAGGTGATGCCCCATGGCCAAGTATCACGAAAAGTAGAACCCAAAACTCAGAGGGTTTTGGGCGATGCTCAAGTCCCGGCTTCCCGCAACTGTCCGCGAGCGCAGCCCTGTCCAATGCATTAGCGGCCAGGCCCTTGTCTGGATCAAAAAAGAAGAAGAAACAAAAACGCATCCTGAAATGGAAATCCTGAAGAAGTTGTTTGAGACAACATGTATATTATTATAATCCTTACGAACTTTGAAGTATATCATATGCATAATTATAGTTCTTCATTTTTCGAACTAGTATTATTAGCATAGACATAATTGTAGTTCTTTATTTTTCGTTGTAGCATTGTTAGTATTAGACTACTATTGCTTCTTATTTTTGGTAGCGTCAGTGTTGATTTTTTTTGTCCCGATATGGGTATGTGCCAAATAGCGGACCCGCATGGGTGTCCTTTTGGCTAAGAACTTTCAGACCAACCTAAAATGGACAACTCAACAAGCACACGCCCATTGCCCCGATTTTTCGGGACTCCCCAAAACGGGGGTATCCAGAAAAGGGCCTGGCCTCCGACGATTTACGCCATGGGGAAGCCTATGGACGCTCGGCTTTTGAGAAGCATATGTGGGACGCACGTGTGTTTGTGCGTTTGTGCCTGCGTGTGTGTGTGTGTTTCCTTACTCGAAATGCGCTTGTATTTTTCTTGGTTTTGATTGCGTGTGTGTTTGTGTGTGTGTTTTGTGTGTGTGTGTGTTTCCCAAGAACATGTTTGTTGTGTTGTTGTTCTCAAAATGGCGATGTGTGTTTCTCGCGGCTTTTGCCCCGCGCTTCCCCAAAACCAGTCAGTTGCGCTTGCGGCTGGAATGACGTGGCTCATTGGGAGGGTGCCCATGGGCAAGCCCATGGGTATGGGAGGCGCTATTCGAAACTTTCGGGTTCAGGAGTCCCGTTGTTTTTTTGTTTTTTTTCCTGCTTTCTGGTGGCTGACACAACAGCCTCAGCTGGGCCGGGTTGAAGCAGAAAACCTTCGGATGGCAACGGGGGGTCTCATTTTTGAATCTCCGTGGCGGTCGCTAAGGACTGCGAACACTCAGCGAGGTGGTCTCCAATGACGTCAAAAAATGCCTCCGCCTCGGAGCCTTCTGGCAGAACTAAGCAGACCTCAAGGGACAGGACCTCAAGGTTGACGGAAGTTGGAGTTCTATTGGAGTTCTATTCACAGGTTCTTGCACCTGTTGCAACCAACCTCCCATGGGTTTTTTGAATGCACAAAAGGGTGCCATGGGCCTACGCCAAGAAGTCTAGGGCTACCTTCCAATTTCATTCCGAATCCAGGGATCCGAATCTTTCTAGAAAACCACCAGAAAATTTGGGGAAACGGATCCGGTTTTTGGAAAGGACGATGGTTGAAAAGAATGGGGAATCAACCCCTAGAGGAGTGTTGAAATTGAAATAAACAAACAAAAATACTGGATCTTCGCTAGGTCCCCCAGCTAGGCGCCCTTTTACCATTCCTTTTTTGGGGGAGGGTTCCCTACTAAAATAGACTACAGACAAAAGAGACGGTACCCTTGTTCTAACCTCTCTACTGGAGGACCCAGGTTTTGTATGGTGCTTCAAGACGATTTTTGGACCCCCCCCCAGAAACGGCTGGTGGTTGTCGGCTACCTGTGCCATTTGCTTCGTGTGCCATGCAAGTTTATGGTCCGAGATTGCCAGATCGGCAAAGGTTGCCGTTTTCTCTGCAAAGGGATCGACCTGATAGACGAGTCATGGGGATGCGGGAGCTCACTTCTCGAAGGGAAGTTGCTCATCGAGGTTTAGCTTGATGCTATAGATGAGAAACCCCCTGGATCGCCAGATACGATCGCTTGTTTCCATCCACTTTACCATCCAAAAGCCAGCAACAGTGACTGAACAAAGCAGCAACTTGGCTATCCAGGCTGCTTCTAGTTGTGGCCATAGGTTTCTCTCTCTGACTGTGTGAGCGTCCTTTGGTTCCCTTTCAAGCAAGCTAAATGGGATGTGGGGGGTTGATCAAAAGGTCCACATGGGGGGACCACTCCGAACAACTACCCATGGTCAAAAGCTGGCGGCCATGGATCGGAGTGTTTGAAGCCTCACATCCAAGCGAGAGATGAGCCACCATCAAAACCGATTCGGGTAGATGATCCGGCTAGTAAGGGACAATCCCAATTCCATAAATAGCTGCGGATATCTGCCTTGTCTTAGTTCTCTACCATGGTTCTGGGATTACGACCGTTTGAATACCATGAGTTTTCAGCGTGACTCATATCCAAGCGAGAGAGATTCGAGCCCTCCTCTGAGGTCGCGTTTGAATGATGAGACCTGCCCCGGCAGAAACCATCTCATCCTTCAGACCGGACGAACCCAAAAAAAAGGCGGCGAGCGGCATTTGTCTGAATGAGACCTCGGAGCTTGAAATCGACCTTTTGGTGTTTGTTTGGTCCACTTTGAGAGGTCCCAAAAGGTTAGACCTCTTGAATTTCAATCAAAAGGCCGGTCCTTGAAGCTTCCTCTAGCTCTCAACAGGCTTTCCCTCTGGTTTAAGTCCAAGTTACAAAACAATGGGTCGTTGGGAAGCCGGATGTTTTTCCCTCGCCATTTTTGAACTCGGACCAAATCCGATTTTGGGAAGCACCTAGAGGGATTCGCGTTCGAGCGCATCCGTGCCTTCGTTCTTCGCGGCATTGAGCGCTTCAGGCCATAGCGAGGATCGATCCAAGTGAAGCTAGGCGAATCAAAACGTGGTCCCAAAACGAGATTTGCCACATTATTGGAGCTGTTTGTTTTTTCCCAAATAATTTCAGAGCGGTTTTTATCTTTTTTTCTGGGACAGAAGCAGCCTCAGCATTTTGACACCAAACAACAGGTCGGGTTGGGTAGATTGAATTTGAGCGACATCTGCAGCGAACACCCCCAAAGCAGAGGGCTGAGATTCGCCCTGTTTTTTGGACGCAGGATTCGTCGCCGGACCGAGCCGTGCCGGACCCGCCATGGTTCTGTGGGCTTTGAGGGCGCCGACGCGGAGTTTGCGCCTGGATGGCCTGAGAGTGGCGAGGCAGGGCTTGTGTAGGGCCAAGAGAATTTGCAGAGACGCGGGCTCTCAAAAGACCCGAAAAAGGTCCAAGGCCCTGAGGCGCGAGAAAACTCCCATTGAGATTGGGGGGGGGGCTTTTGGACCCTTGACAAACGCAGGATGGCTCGAGGAGCTGTTACTTCCTCCGGTTACTCCTTTTTCGAGGTTTCCTCTCCTTTGGGGTTTGCTTCATTGAGCCTCCTCCCCCGCAAAAACTTAGAGTGGCCTGTTCCCCATGTTTGGCTGGGAGAACAGAGGAAGACAACATGTGAGAGGTGGGCATGAGGCCCTAAAGCGAATCTGCGTATGCATGGGCGTGGGGGGAAAGGGTTGGGTGGGGCACATTTTTCGCAGAGGAGTTTGTGAGGGACCGAGGTCATGAGTTGATCTAAACGCTGCCTGAAAACAAGGCAGACGTCTTCGCGATACACCGATACACCGATATCCCGCGACCGGATATCGGCGCGGCCGGATATCGGTGCGCACCAAGACACCCTCCAGCCCGAGCCAGATTCTCCACTGCACACACCGATAATTACACGGGAAAAAAGGCGTATCCGATACACCGCGGTGCGGGGGGGATATCAGCGCGTGTCGGTATAGGCGCGCGTATGTACGTATGTAATGGAGACTTAATGTTAATGCTATGTTATGTTATTCATTTGTGTATGTTAGTTTGTTTGTTTGTTTTTATGTATGTGCGGATGCGAAGTTTTGTACGGCGGTGGGTCATTGCCATGGCATGAAGTAGCTGACTTGGCGATGCAAGAGGATCTCAGCGTGGCCGATTTTGTTTTTGCGATTAGGAGCCTGGTTGCAAAGTAACATTTCCGAGGGAACATCCGAAGATCTTCAATTCCCTTTGGTTCGCGTGAGAGTGGCTCGAAACAGCTTCCACTCAGCCGCGGGGATGCCATGATGAATGCCAAGGTTCGTCCCAACAAACGAGTTGCAGAAGATCGGATTTTTCTTGTTCTCTGCATCTTTGCATATTTTGGTTTTCCCTTTCCTTACTGCTTTCATGATATGTAAATTCTCGTCTGATTCCTCCTCTGGTTCTCCTCTGATTCTCCTCTGATTCTCCTTGCTCTGTTTTTGCCGCGTCAATTGTGTTCTTTGCGTTTTTCTATTCCTCCTTGTTTGCTTTTTGAGGGAAAGCGCAAATTTGTCTATGCCTGCACAGCAGAAGCGTGCTCTGTGCAGGGGTAGAGGGTGTCGAGCTGCGATGGGAACTGTGCAGATGTCACAACCTGCGCAGGCCTTTGTGCCTGGACCTGACTGGTTGTAGCCAATGGCTCATGTCATTCTCACACATAGTGTGATTTTGCTTGTTCTCATACTTGGTGTCCCCGCATGTGTGCTAGCGCAGACTCACATAGACATGACTTGTAGGTTTGCATGTTCTTCGCGTTTCCTTGTCACCCTGTACCTTTCTACGGCCTCAACAGTGCTGTAGGTGTAGGTGGGGACTGAGGGGAGTGCGAGGACTTGCGCCTGTCAAGGGGGCAGAACCAGAGGAGGGCGCCGGGGCTGGAAGTTGCAATCGCATTAGAGATGCCAGGAGCGGTGTTGAAACAAGTTTATTTCCAAACCCCCTGAATCCTGCCCCACCCTCTTTCCCTCTTGGGGGGCCTTGGGGGGTTGGGTGCTTGCATCAGACTGGGAACTTTTATCAACGCATGTAGGATGTATGTATGCAATGTAATGTAATGTACTGTGCTGTACTGTAATGTAATGTAATGTAATGTAATGTAAGGTATACATGTGTGTCTGTGTATGTGTAAGTAGTGTAAGCGTGTGTGCGTGTATGTATATGTGCATGTATTCAGCTATGTATGTATTCAAAGTATCTACGTATGTGTGTTATAGTATGTTATGTTATATTATGTTGTGGTATGTTATGTAGGTGTGTAATGTATGTATGCACGCATGCATGCATGCATGCGTGCATGCATGCATGCATGTTTGTAACGAGGACGAGGGCAAAGAGGGCGAGGGCAACAAGGGCGGCGTGTGTGTTGTCCTCCTGCCCCTGCTGGATTTGGAGGTCAGCGACTGTGAGCAGATCGTGGCGTGGGCCAGCAACGCCAAGATTGCAGACATGGAAAGCAAGGATCTGGCTCAGGCGGTCCCATCTGAAGGTTTGTCAGTAGTATGTCACAGTGTGGGGCCCCGTTTTGGTACCCCATGTGCCCCCTTTGAAAGGTGGCGCAAGGCGGCAACAGAACTTCAAAAGGGTCCATATTTTGACGGTTGGATGGATCATATTGCCGTTTCGATTTGGCAAGCGACCGCCTGAAATGCTCAACTTGCAAAAGCGATTTTCTGATTTTCTTGCCACAAAAAAGGGCCATCCCATCTCGATGGAAAACCTGTTTTTAGGCAGAAAAATGTAGCCTCGAGGAAGCCACAGGCTTTTGACAACCACCCATCCGATTCAGGCGGTCCAGTTGGACAGGGAGCTTGAGCCAAGCAACCTGCTGGGCACCGATGACATCTCAGCCGACAACCTGAAAGGCGTGCAGTTGCCACGCTGGGCGTTTGCCTCCCCAGCATAGCTGGCATGGCCGGCTCGCGATGCAGCTCAGCAAGTCCGCCAACGGCCAAGGAGGCCACGAGCAAGTGCAACCCGACGCACTTTGAAGCCCTACGGAGATCCATGGCCGGCGCACCGCCAAGGTGCATGAGCTGGAGGAGGCGCTTCAGCTGCGCGGGAGGGGAGGAGGTCCCGATCACGCGGGAGATTATATCTGATTCCGCAATCTTGCTTTGCAACAGCAACATGAACCTTGGACCTGATGCGCGTGTCTTCATGGATTCATGGCTGTTACGGTTACGGTAAGTTAAGTACGGCTTGTACGGTTACGGGTAAGTTACGGGTATCGGCGTCGGCATCGGTATTGTTTTTTCTTCAGCATCGGTTTACAGTGTTCCGGGCCTGCAAAGAAAGATGGCCCTTACACAACAAACAGGCGCTAGGCTTCTTTTTCAACCCACTTCTCATTCGTTTTTAATCGGTTATGTCTCGCTCCAGAAATGCCAGCTGAAAAGCTTACAGGCCCTAGCTTAGGCTACCCTCCTACTGCTACTACTACTACTACTACTACTACTACTACTACTACTACTACTACTACTACTACTACTACTACTATTACTGCTGCTGCTGCTGCTACTCCTACTACTACTACTACTACTACTACTACTACTACTACTACTACTATTGCTACTACTATTACTGCTGCTGCTACTACTACTAGTACTACTACTACTACTACTACTACTACTACTACAACTACTACTATTACTACACTACTACTGCTGCTGCTGCTGCTACTACTACTACTACTACTCTACGTAGGACTTGTGCTAATTACTTCGGTCCGCGCTTTGTGCCTAGCAGGCACGCTTGAACTCGGATGCCGCACTCTTAACTCAACCAGCTGCCCTGGAGCTGCCAAAATGTACATTGTGTGCTCATGTGTGCTGAAAAGTTGCAACTTTCAAGCCGGAGCTGCCAAAATGTACATCATATACTGACTGCACTATACTACACTTGCACTGAAAACTTGTGACTTTCGAGCCAGAGCTGCCAAAGTAAAGTGTACTTCGTGCGCTACACTCGTCTTCCCTGCGGGGGAGCCTTCGAAGCGCCGTCTCAATCTGCGTGGTTTCATGTAACGATGAGTCTTAGTTCGTATGCATGTATGTATGTATGTATGTATGTATGTATGCATGATTGTACGTACGTCATGTATGTAGTGCATGTATATTGTGTTGTATTGCATTGTAATGTACAGTATTGTGTTGCAATGTATTGTATTGTATTGTCTAGTAGCTCTTTGCCTGCACTCACAGCAGTCGATGCTTGACAAGAGTTGTGGCCGCTAGCTCAAACAGCTTGAGTTGGAAAGCAACACAGCTCGACATTGCGCAGCCTTCATCAACGTCATCCTCCCCTGCCAGGATCCACGACGCAATCACTCGCAAGCCAGTGGCAAAGTACATACACACATTCCTACATGCGTACATACATGCGTAACAAAACAAAACATAGCATAACCTAACACACATTCATTCACACACACATGCGCACATAGACACATGCATACACACATACACATGTACAGACGTACACACATACACCTCTACTCACACACATGAACGCGCGCAAGCGCACGCACGCACGCACGCAAACACAAACACGCACACACATACATTAGTCATATTACGTAACATAACATAACATTGCATCACATTGCATTACAATACCACACACCACAATACAACACAACACCATTCAACACAATACAATACAACACAATACACCACACTACCATACAATACAACACAATGCAACACAACACCCTGCAACACGATAGAATACAATACAATACGACACAACACACTACAATACAACACGTTTCTACGCAATGCAACACAGTACAACACAATACACTGCAACGCAGTACATACATCACATGTATGTGAAGCCCACACATACACACATATATACACTGCATTGCGTTACATTACAGTACATTATGTCACACGCAAGTACATCACCACACATACCTTTGTACACACATACAAAAACAATACAACACTCTACACTCCTGGACGTTTTTTGCCTGAGCTTCGTTTGCTTCTTGTTTCATGCGGTTGCTCCATCATGGCAGAGTGCTTCTCACATGTGGTTGAAAAGTACGGTTTGTGAGTGAACGCGCCGTGGATGCAGGAACGTCGCGCTGCATTGCTTTTCTAGCTTGCAAGGTGACTTCCACCAGAGCTCTTGTCAAGCATCGGCTGCTGATGCAGAAGAACTCCTGGAGGGAGGTACTTGTTTGAAGGGCCGGAGCAAAAAGTTGGCATGACCAAGGATGTAAATCACAAAGTGGCTCAGCACAAAGGGACAGCCCTGAGTTTCACTGTTTAGCGTCCACTTCCCCATCTTGGAGTTTGGGGCTGGTGGTGCTGGTGCTCTGGGATGCCTGGCTCTGGTCCTCAACAACTTTTGGCAGCGTGAGGTGTTGATGGTGTGCCTCCAAAGGTTGAATGGAGTTTTCTGTATGGGTGCAACTTTGCAACGTAACGCACAGCGTGTGTGCAATGTATGTCCGAGTACGTATGTAGGTGTGCAAGGCACGCACGCATGCATGCATGAATGTATATATGTATGTGTGCGTGTATGTATGTCTGTCTGTGTGTATGTGTGTGTATGGTATGTCTGTGTGTATGCAAAAGGTAGGTAAGCATGGATGGATGTATGGCATGGTGTGGTGTGTACGCGCGTAACGTAATCTCATACAACGTAGTGTGCTGTCGTGAAGTGTAATGCAACACAATGCAATGCAATGTGAGGTATCGTCTGTAACGCGCAGTGGCGTACGTTGGAAACCCGGATGCGATATCTGTATTCCCCGCACCGGGATTCGCCCCACCACCGACCGGGGGACGAGGAAAGACATCGGCACGCGCACCGACACGCCGATATGCCGCCAGATTCCCTCCAGCCAACTCACCGACCCATCGATATCCACCCAGGGCTCGGGGGGTTTGTCTTAGGGCACCCGAAGCCCAAAACGATGGAAAGAAACCAAAGGAACTCTGAAGGTGATTCCACTACATATTGGTGCCTTTGGGTTTCCATGAGCTGCGCGTGGGTCAATCATTGCCTGACAGCCTGTCTTCAGAATCCAAAACAAGATGCCGTGCCCTTAAGCAATACAATTAGGCAAGTGAAAGCATCATCTTTCCATGCTGATTCAAAGGATTTTTGCCAGCATATAAAGAACCAGCTACAAGAAACGGGACAACCAAACAAATCACACCCGCAAAGTGGTCACAGCTTCCTCCATCGGCATGGGCCCAGGGGGTCAACACGACTTCGTTCCAAGAGGACTTTGAGGGTAACCGGGCACCTGGACCCTCAAACTCTGCCTTGAAGTTGACGTTTGCTGGAGCTTCCAATGTTAGTTCTGGGACCTCACACAACCGAATTCACCGCAAATAGTGGTTTATGTGGGCAGTATTCCCCCAACCACCTTATCTCAGGCTGGTGAAGTATTATAAATCACCCAGTTAGTTAGGGGTTTGCGGGTTCCACCCATGCTGGGGTAGCATCATCAGGCGACGCCTGGGCGACAGCGTGCAGGGCCCGCCGGTCACCGACCTGCCGAAGAATCTGCAGAAGGCGAAGGACGATCTGTGCGGATCGATCCGCGCGCATGGCACGTGTTGCACTTGGGATCGGTGGGCCAAATGTTTTGGAGCACAAGGGAGACCAAGGGGGTTGGAGTGCAAACGGGCTTGGTTTACCACCGGGATTGGTCCCCCAAAGCAAAGTTTTCGGATCAGTTTTGCACCTGGGCGCGCAGAAGCTTTGGGCTGGTAGAGAGGGCTGCGCGTTCCGACCTTCGGAGCTTCAGCAAGTCTCTTGATCCACGTGAAGTGTGTCACTTGGCATCGAATGGTTGGCCATGCTTTTGGGTAGCATGTTTGAGTGGGGCGATCACTCGTACTTTCTGAAGAGGCCCCTATTCCAGGGACTCAAGCTGGGAATGATTTCTTTTGGTGGCTGAAGGACACCAAAGGGACATCAACCATGAGGATTATAGTTTCTTGACGGTCCCAAGTAGGCTGAGAAGGGGTGTTCCTTTGAGGGAAATCAATCCTGGGTATTTGCGTCAACCTTGGTCAGATCAAATGGAACCAAAGGACGAAGTACCTCGGCAATACTGAGTCACATGAACATTGACCTGACTCTTTTGCTTAAGGATATGTTTTCCTCTTTTGGTTTTAAAGGGAATCTATCACTACTGGAGATATTTTTTCCAGAAACCTTAAGGAAATGAAGGGACCGAAACGGAGAAAACGCGGCAGGAGTTCTTTACAAAGCCCGCCCTGTCCTACGGGGAGTTCAAGCAGCAGTGCGTGCCACTCGCACTGACGCAGGGCGTTTTTTTCTTCTTTTCGCGGATGGATGACTCAGCCGTCTGAGATGGGTGTGTGTTTGAGGGTGCTCTTTTCCCCTTGCTTTAAAGGGAAGCCAAAAGGGAGACCACCATTTTGGGGGTCCCCTATTTTGACTCATGGATGAGAAATGACATGAGATCATAGATGAGATGAGGTGAGCTGAGATTTGATGTCAGCCAACTGAAACAGTCCTGGCCCAGTTTTTTTCTCGTGGGTTCCCAGCATTCCCCCAAGCCTTTGGTCGATGCTTTTGGCATCCGGATGCCCATCCCTTGGCTTCGGATCGGTGCCCAAAGCAAAAAAAAGATTGGCGACCTGGGATCGACCAAAACGATAGAGCCATGGCTGATGAAAGGGTTGCTCTTGTCTTCCATTTGCTGAAATGAATATGTTGTATTTTCCCCTGTTGGTTTTAATCGGAATCTACCACTACTGGAAATATCTTCATTTTCCCAGGGGGCTTAAGCAAATGGAGGTTGTGGCACGCCCAAGAGTCGCTGGACATCTCAAGCGAGGTACTTTGAAAGTAAAGCGTGAGAAAGCGCAAGGAACCTGGGGTCAAACCAACTTTTGCTTGACTTTTGCTTCAGCGTTTCTCAGAAGTCCCTAAACAAGTCCCAACAAACAGGTTCCAGTTTCATGTTTAGCATCCGATTTCGGAACTCAACGGTTAGACCCATCTGACCTCGAAAATGCCTAGTTTCCTTTTGGTTTCCCTTTAAAGCCACTTCAAAAGGGGGCTATCCTCAAAAGGACAGACCCATTTGGGGTCACAAAGGTTTGCCTCGCTTCGCCAGCTGCGAGGTCCTTGCGGCCCTTCGCTTTCGCCGCGATTTGCAGCGGCTGCGCCGGGATGCAAAGAGAGCCTTCTTGGGGATAGTAGTAGTAGTAGTAGTAGGAGTGGTAGTAGTAGCAATAGCAGTAGCAGTAGCAGTAGCAGTAGCAGTAGCAGTAGCAGTAGCAGTAGCAGTAGCAGTAGCAGTAGCAGTAGCAGTAGCAGTAGCAGTAGCAGTAGCAGTAGCAGTAGCAGTAGCAGTAGCAGTAGGTAGGTAGGTAGGTAGGCAGGCAGGCAGGCAGGTAGGTAGGTAGGTAGGTAGGTAGGTAGGTAGGTAGGTAGGTAGGTAGGTAGGTAGTAGTAGTAGTAGCAGCTACTACTACTACTACTACCACTACTACTACTACTACTACTACTACTACTACTACGACTACTACTACTACTACTACTACCACTACTACTACTACTACTACGACTACTACTACTACTACTACTACTAGTGCTAGAACTAGTACTAGTACTACTACTACTACTACTACTACTACTACTACTACTACTACCACTCCCAGAGGGTTTGCTAGATGTGCAACCTTGAAGCATCACACCTAGAGAAAACTCATTCTATGGGACAGAAAAAGGTGAAAGGACATCTAGCGACGACAACCCCTATGTTTGTGGCTGTAGTCTTAACGAGCTCACCGATTCGGGGGGCAAAATGAGTTCAATACGGTTGTTTGGGGGTTCCTTCCAAGCTGCGCATCATAGTAATTGCCCAACAATTTGAGGTCAAAACACCTGAACATAGTTGGCCTGGTCAACCCATGAGTAGACTGCAGCCTTCGCATGGCTTCCCCAGAGCAAAGGGTGTTCTTCCCATGAGGAAGCAACGATCATGTGGTGAGGACTTGCAAAGGGGACTTGCGGATTGGGGTCTTTTGGATTTGGAACCCAAAGGCTCAATCTCCAAAAGGTGGCTTCTGCGAAGGTCAATGTTTGGGTTCCATGCCAATCTGGAACTCGCCTGGCCTTTTTGGTGGACGTGTTGGGTTCGGGCTTCGAGTCCGAATGGTTCGTGGACCCCAGCTTCGCTGATCATGGGGCCATACTTTTAAGAGGCCAAGAGGGAAACCGCAAAGGGAAAGGCGTTTCCAAGGGACCTTTGAGGCCTTGCTTTCTTCGAAAGTACTGGTACATGGCAAAAATTTGGGAGGGACATGAGAGTCGCAGGCTCGAAATGTCCCACCAAAACCAGGGAACGAGACAGCATTGCCCCTATCCTCCAGAAGAAATTAGGGCCCTTCTGACCTTTCCACGCATGCCCTCGCGGCCTGCCCGTTCGAAATATCCAAATGTGTGCTAATTAAGTGTGCCTATGTGTCGGGTAGAGTGTCGAGTTATCCCCCTTTTGAAGCCGCGTTTTTGCTGCGGTTTTTTTCCACGGGTCCCGGGTGGAGGGAGCGACTCAGGTCCTATCCTTGGTGATTTGCCCGCTGCCGCTCGGATCAGAATTTCGTGGCAATGCTCTAGATGGGTTTGTTAAAGTGAGGGTTCTCAAAGTTGCTTTGAGGGGGTGGGGGGGAACCCCCTGCAAGTCACCACTTAGATGCTCATCTTGAGAATGTTGCTATGGAACCAAACCCCAGTTGTTGGTTGGGAGTGGAGTGGAGTGCTTGCCCTGGTTTCGAAGTGTCAAGCATTTGTCAGCTGCCAGCTGAGCGGTTTGTGAGAGTGTGTGTGTGTGTTTTACAAGTGGGTCCACGTCGACTTGTAAGAGACCCAATAAAAATATGAGGTCACCAATCATATTCCCGGGTCACGAGCCCATGTTTGGTTTAGTTGGTCTCTTGGTCCTTTGGCAAACTTGGAGAGGTGCTACAAGGGCCTGAAAAAATATAATTTGATTGATTATTCTAGGGGTAAACTATTCGCAATCATTTAAACTACTATTAATGATGAATGCCGCTTATCTTACCAGTTGGCAAACACCATGCATAATGCGAGGCAATGTTGGCAGACAGCTTTTGCTATCACACACAAGATATGTGACGAGCATGCAAAGAATGTGTTCCTCAAAAACTGAACCCGCGACTTTGTGAGTGGGCCTAGTATGCCCCCTTGTGCAGAGCGAAGCGCAGCTTGGATGTTTCGTTTGCGGCCACTGTCTTCATTTATGGCGGTTCTCCGCAAAATGGCAAGGGTATCCTTGTTTCCAAGTACCCCCTCCCCCGCCCACCAAAACAAACACCGATACACATGTACCCCAAACCGTAAGATGAAGCCAAATCAGATATGAGGCTTTCAGGTGCGCAGAAAGATAATAATACGACTACTAACAATAAAAACAATAATAAACATATCCTTGCAGCCGCAGGAAGTCGTCCTACTGGGCCACTTGGGGCCCTCTCAGCTGGCTCTCCTACGCCGGTGGCTGAGAGTGCCCCTCGCTGTCGGGTATCTTAGATATGAGCATTTGGGGGTGGGTCAAAAAGTAGGTACCCAAAACGGGTTGCCCTGGTAAATTGAAATGAGGACTAAAACCTGCGGTCCCCTAGTGGTTCAATTTTGACCCATACCCAGTTGAATTGGGGACCCTTTAGACGTTTGTGACATGTCCATTCAATTACAAGATATTTCCATGAAACATTTGAGGGCCTCCATGATTTGCCAGAAGCTCTGGGTGGATGCCGTTTTGCAGCGAAGTGGAACAGACCGCAGATTGCAGATTGCGTGGTCCCGGGTTCCTAGACCCATACAGAACAACTACCCTGCCTAGACCCGAACAGAACAACTACCCTGAAGCCTGGTTGACATGACCCCATGTTTGAGCAGCTGGTTGGATCTTTGACCTTTCTTTGGTTGGGGCAATGTGTACTTTCAGCAACTAGCCCATGAGGAAGCCAACTTTGCGCGGAAAAGAATAGACAGAGCAATCGCTTCAGCTCTTGAGCGGCTTCTTGGTGACGATTCGGCACCGGAGGGCCGCCTGCTCTGCGAACGCCTGGAAAGAAGCTTTGCCCGCAGTCAGCCGGTATCGGCGCGTGGCAATTACCGAAGCCGTGACCTGACGAGGAGTGGGAAGTGAGGCGGCCCGGGCTCAAGATACCTTCCTGGTTTGCCAGTTGCTTTTTTTCCGTCCACTTTACCATCCAGAAACCAGCAGTGACTAAAAGAAAGGCAGCAACTTGGCTATCCTTGCGATGCTTCAGTCTGTGAGCTCCGCGGCTGGGAGCTCCGCATCCTCAAGCGAGCTCGCCCAGCGCAGCATGTCCAGCATAGGGTCGTTCATGGGCTCCGTGTAATGGGGCATGCTGGCAGATGTAGCTGGAGTGCAGCATGTCTTGCTTGTGTCGCACATTCTCGGCGTCTCTGTCTTCTGCCTGTCGCCGGCTCAGGACGGGGTGTAGCCTCGCGTCCATCTTGTTTCCAAGAAAACCCTTCGGCAGATTTCGGCACCATCGGCACCACGTGTGTGTGGCTCAAAATTGAACGATCGGAGGGGCAAACCGCGGGTTTCGGTACCCATGTCTCCACTTACCGATCGGGCAACCCATTTTGGAATTTTCCGGGTTTTTTTTGAATTCGCCACTGCCAGATGGATTTCCCTGGCAGATTCAACCACCAGGTAAGCCAGGAATCGGAACCCATCGATTTTTGCATTCGCCGCTGCCACGTGTGTTTCAGCAACTGCGATCCCGGTTCAACGGATCCACAGAATCCTCCACTCATTCTTCCGTAGGCTGAAATGAAATAGGTTCTATTTTCCCCTGGTGGTTTTAAAGGGAATCAATTTCACTGCTGGAAAAATATCCGGTTTTTTTCTCCAGCGGACTTAAGCAAATGGAAGCATTCCTTGTCTTGCGGACCCCCTTTGTGCCGCTTCCACCAAGGGTGAAGAAGTGCGGCAGCGCGCACGCTGATACGTGCTGTTTTCCCCAAATTACGACGGCAGCGGTTTCTTTTCCATTCTGCTCCTCTACGGCCTGACCTTTCTTGAGTGAACCCGTGGCATCAAGTGTGCGCGGCGAGCGTGCTCCGCATGGCATGGGGCCGAACAGTCCGGTGGACTCGGGTATGTTTGCAATGCTTTGGGTTGATTTTGAAGGCAAGCCGCCGACCCTTTTTTGCAGAGTTTGTTTTATGGCCAGATGACCTGTCGGGATTCTGTTGCAATGCTCAACCAAGCTCTTGTGAGCAAATGGCGATGTTCGAGACACCGCGTATCCTTTTTGTTGCATCGCGCCAAGAGACAAGGATCGTCGCAAAACTGAAGAGCAGATTGGTTGTGAAGTGAACGCAGTACTGGGAACTTCGGGCTTTATTGGTTGTATTATCCCCTGGTTGGAGGTGTCCCGTTTCAGGAGGAATCCTATTTGGAAAAGAAACATTTGGGGAGAAATCCCCCTATTTCTCGCAGAGTTTAGTCCGGGTCGACATCATGAACCCAACATGTCCACGCTCTGCAACGGTCGTGCGTGTTGCAATCTCGAGAACAGGGAACTGCTGCCCGCCACTTGCGGATTTTCCAGGACAACAGGGGATGGGTCATTTCCCAGACCCCCAAGACCCCCCAGGCCCCCCAGGCCCCCCAGGCCCCCCAAGCCCCCCAGGCCCCCCAGGCCCCCCAGGCCCCCCAAGCCCCCCAGGCCTTTAGACGAGTCGTTTTCTGCAGTGTTCGGTCGGAGGTCAAGGAAAGCGTCGCGGGGACCTCCCCGCCGCTCTTCCTGAAAGAGAAGCGATGCGCCAATGCGACGCAAGCGCTGAGGCGTGGCTTTGCGCGTTGCAGGGGAGAAAGTATCCGCACAATGCATGTAGGCAATATTTACCAACACAGGTGTCCTTTTTGCTTGTGTTGGTAGAACAATAGATGGCAATTCCTGGTTTACCCGGTGGTTTAATCATCTTCCAGGGCCATCTATTTCCCCTAAAAGGACACCTATGTTTACCGACATGTGACCCATTTGCAGGGATGTGAGTAACTTTTTTGCGGTTGGGGTAGACGACGTAGTAAAAGAGATGACTAGGCCACAGTGGGCGTCTGTAAATTTGTTTTAGCCATCCTAGGGCATCGAGTAGGAAAACTGGCTCTTGGTCTCCTGTTTCCGCTCATCCAAAAGGTGGGGATGGATTGCCTCTCATGTTTCCAATGTCGACATGGGTGTTTCTCAAGGGGTTTTCTTGGCTGGGCGGAACCAAAGGAAGCCGCAAGCACCTGGGATCGCGGATCGCATCTCGATGCGCAGGCCCGAGCCGGCCGCGGCCGCGGCGTCTTTGGCCGCGACGGCCAAAGAGAGTCCAAAGGAAGAGAAGACTCAGGCGAGGTGTGGAGAGTCTGACTTCAAAAACCCACCCGAACCCAGCTGTCAAGCTGTCCACTGTTCGTTTTCCCTTGGGACACTTTGAAAGAGCCTGAAAGGTACTAAAAGGTGAACCGTCACGGTGAGGCGTTTGTTTCCTCGTCCTTGCAAGTGCGCAGACACGCGGCCCGACGATTTTTGCATATCCGTATCGTTGACGTTTAGTTGGAACACGATCCAAGCCCCGGGTTGCCACGGACCCCCAAAACCCGGGACAAACCTTCTTTTGTCCACGGGGTTTGAGGGCCCCTGGAAAAGTGGTTAGTGGATTAAATCGTGGGGCCTCCCTGTGGTGTGCAACCACTTAAAACGTGCTCCAACAAGTCCATGGCGGAGTATAAAGAGATTGGCAGCCGGCAGCGCGGACAAAGCATGTCACAGTTGCTCTTTCAGTCAAGGGAATATACGGCCCACAATTCAAAGTAAATGTAGTTTTAACCCACCCCGCAACTCTATTCTATTCATTTAGGCCCTCAAAGTGCCCCCTGAAAACCAACTAGCAGGCGTCCTAAAAAGCTTACCCACCCAGAAGGGTTCAGGTCTGAACCCCAGAAGGCGCTCGCTCGGTCTCCGCTGCAGGCGCCCAAGCCGCGAGTGCTCTTCGTACTCGGCGGCCCCGGCGCGGGGAAGGGCACGCAGTGCGCGGGGGCCCGGAAAGCGAAGGATACATTTCACGTGTGGCTGTGGGTCAAAAAAAGGGTAACCCCAAAATGGGTTGCCCGAGCGGTAAATGGACACATGGACTCAAAAACCTGCGGTTTTCTGGTGGTTTTTAGGTTTGAGCCACACCCATGTTGCCAGTGACTCAAAGTGAAGCATTCCTGGGCCCAACTCTTGGGTACAAGCAACTTGGAGTTGGCGATTACCCTTTTGGGATGGCTTCAAACGAACACTGAGAGGAAGAAACCCCTGTTTTTTTTTTAAACAGATATGTTTTTCAGGTGAAAGGAGAAAGAGACACACCAACCTGGTGGGACCTCGACTAAACATGACCCGTGGTTGAAAATCGAAGCTCAGGTGGACTCGCTTGGTCGAGCCTGCGGGAGGGTCGAACCAGCCTACAGCCCACCAACCTGAAACCATCAATCCAAACCCACCTGGGTGGCTCTTCTTTGTTTTTCAATCAGGGTAGCCTCCAAAACGCCGAGCCGCCCAAGGGAAAGCCAAAAAAACCCTTTAAGAAAAAGGATTGCAGGGCCCCCGGTAAAAAGGGACGAGCCCACCCGCCATCGAAAGCCTTCAGGAGGCCAGCGATTTTTCGTTAGGCGGCCACATCTGCGGCGCCTACCCCGCCTGGGGCCACATCTCGGCGGGGGACTGCCTGCGCGCTGAGCGCCAGGATCCCGACTCCAAGGCGCGCCGGCGTGGTTTTTGGGGGGGACGGGGGTCGTGGCTTCGGCGCCTTTTCCGGGTGTCCATGCAAAAAGACCACCCGGAAATCAGAGCCTTACAAAAGAAAAGAACCCGCCCCACTCATCCATGCCGATGAATTGGGATTGGTGGTTGATTCATTCATCCATACCAATTGGTGCGTGGCTGGAATTTGGTTCAAGCGATGACTTTTCACCTCGAAAATGGGTGGACATGAATCACCGACTTCTGATGTCGGGTCTCTAACTACGGGAGGATGATGCGTAGATTAGAGGATGCCTGAGTCCTTGAAGAGTGTTGACCATTGCTTTGAAAAGGTACCCCTGAAATTGTCCTAAAAAAAATCTAAGGGTCTTGTTACTCCCCTTGTTACTCCATTGGCCCTTGATTTGTTTTTCTGGGCTAGAGCATTGAACGGTTTTCGACCCCGGGCGCCAGCCTTTGGATGGAGTCCGACCTTCACCTGACCCATCCGGCGGATCTTTCGCGGGTTCCTCCAAATCCTTCGGGGTGACGGTGGCTGTTGCTGGGAGTGGGTCGGACGGACCCCCCAACCGTGCGAGGGCCCAGGTGCCCCCGGGGATCATTTCATTGAACAGATTTCCCCATCCCCACTGCCACCTGCCAATGGTTGACTTTTGCAGGATGGAGAGCTCATCAACTCCTACATCAAGGCGTGATTTCCGAGTTTGAGCTTGAGCGACTTGCATCGGAGCTGCACCGGAGACATGGCCAGGAGGGCAAGATTGTGCCGGTTGAAATCACCGTGCGCCTGCTGCAGAAGGCGGGGGGTCACCTGCTGAGACCGCTGATTCAAAAGGGACCGGCAAAGTTGACGCGGAGGCTGGTTCGGCGTTGGGTTGCTTCAAGGCTCCGAATCCAGATGCGAACTGAGGGAACTGGGCACCAGTATTCAGGATCCCGCCAGCTTGGGCGGGTTCTGAGGAGGCATGCTTGCTGTTGCAGACGCGCAACTTGCTGGGCGCCATGTGTGTCTGTGTGTGTGTGTGTCCCATGCAGTTAGTTTGGCCCGTTTGTGTCTTCTGAGTTGGTTCCCCCCCTCCCCCTCCCCCGGATTTTGTCCATTGCCCTCTTTCAGGGCCCTTTTTGTATTTCAGGCCATGGTGGCTGGACAAGCGGAAGGCAAGACCAGCTTCCTCATCGATGGCTTCCCCAGAAACTTGGACAATGCTGCCCGGCCTGGCTCAGGTCGCCATCGGGTCCCGAAAGAGTTACGAACCTTGCTCTTGGAAGCTTTTTATTTCTCAGAGCCAGGGACGGGTACACTCCCTCAGGCTAACATGGAAGCTCCCAGCTAGACAGCCTTTGTAAATCGAACCAAGTCTTCCAAGGGAATCCTGGGAAGGATAAAACAAACGATGAGTCCTTTGCAAAGTGGGCACTGGAATTTTCTAGAGGCAGCTCAGGTATTTTGAGCTAAGATGCCTCCTTGGCACTCTCTCAGGCGCAGTGCTTGGGGTTTCTTAGATCCAGCCCTGGGTCGTTGAGAATGGCAGAGGTAAGCCCTCGATCTGAAGATGGCCCAGATGGGTTGTGTTCCTTTGGGTTTTCCTTTGCCGCAAAAAGAGAAGGAAGAAACAAAGGGTAGCCTCCAACAAAAACCCCACCCGAAAACAGGCGAGCCATAGTCAGCAGCTGGGTAATTGGAGGGTAGTAAGGGGCAATTCCCGCCATAAATCTGTGCAGCCGCCTTGTCAATTCGCCACAGTACTTCTGGGTAGACCATTTTAAGGAGGGGTATTTTGTTTTAAATCCCAACGTAAATCCGCACCCCCATTTTAATACCGGGTTTTCAGTGTGACTCAGGCCGCCAATCCCAAAAGCCAATCCCAACCAAAAGTTCCTCGCCTCAGGTCACCGGCTGGGAGAGCGTGATCGGGGACTCCGCCGAGGTCTTGGGAGCAGCTTGGCCGGAGAGGAAGCCGCGGAAATTTGGGTATGGCTCAAAATTAAACAGGAGTTACGCAGGTTTTGGTCCATGTTTCCACTTGAGTTCCATTTCGGTACCGGTTTTTTCGAGCCAAACCTCCCACCTCCCCGAAGTTCGGGACCTGAGAAAGACTTGTTGGGTTCGGAGCCAGCGGCAAGCAGCAAAAAAAGCTCCGGGAGTGGTGGTGGTCACCTTTTGGCCCCTATGTTGGAGACAAAGCGTCTCCAACTTTCCTTGGCCACGAGTGAGTTTGGCCACTTGAGTGAAGCGAGGAAGTGAGGATTCTCTTGGTTTTGAGCTGGGTTCTCTCCAATCATGGAAGTGGACAGGCCATGTGGAGAACTGCCCCGTCTTCCAAAGCCCTCCTGTCAGCTTTTCATGTTGGAAGGGTAGACTTTTGCTTTTGGGATGAATTGAGACCCTCACACCCTCAGCAGAAGCTGTGACCTGTCACCTTTGCGAGAGAAGGTCTTCTGGTTGCTTCAACCAAACACCAAACTGAGGGCACGGCCAGCCGTGTGCGTTCTCTAGGTACTTTTCTATGAGGCGTCGGAGCTGGAAATGGAGCTCCTCGGCTGAGAGGATTCTGTGCATCCCGTTCTGTGCGAGGCGAGCATGTACCAAAGGAGCTTTGTGAAGCTTCACTGTTGCTGACAAGTTAATTTAGGCTTTTTAGTTGTGTGGTTCTGTTCATTTTTGGCAGGGGGGTTGGAAAGCAAGACAATCCATGGCAACCAGAATCAAAGCCGATTCGGGTAAGTAAAGCTCAGGGTTCCCTTGCCAGAAGAATGTGCATGGGTTTGGGATAGAATTCGTAGCCAATCTGGGCTTCACTCCCTTGATCGATTGAGGGAATGGCAGATTCCGTCGTTTTCCTTCTCAGCGCAATCACCCACTGCTGATGCTTTCGAGAATGGGGAAAACTGCTCGTGACGAGAGAACAAGTGAACAAGAAGACCTGGGCATGTCTACGGAGCAACCGCCTAACCCATGGGATACATGACCCCATAGTTTGGGGGGCAACCTGTCATGACAGCTTCCAAAATGACCACAGCTTCATTGGACCCAATCAGCCTGTGTACAGGGAAATCAACGCAGCCAAACCGAGGTAACCCAACAGATGGGAAGCCAGCCTGGGTGGCTCGTCTTTTTTCGAGAGGACCCTTTTTGGATGGTATTAAAAGGAAACCAAAAGGAACAAGCCAAAGTCCATTTTGGGGTCCCCTAAAAAACGACGAACCACCCACCTCTGCCCTCGTTCTCTTCGCACTTAGGAAGCGCCTGCTGGGTCGCTCCGAAACGAGCGCCTCGGAGATGTTTTTTGCGCGACGGCCCAATTGCACGCAGCCACCGTGGTTTTCCTGAGGTTTGGGGTGCTTCCTTTAAGGTTCCTGTTTTTTTTGGGGGATTTGACACGCATTCCCCTTTGGTTTCGCGTTCCAAAACTTGTGGTCTTTGCGTTTTGACGCAATCCCCGAAAAAGCGGGTGGGTTTCGTTTTGTTTCCCTTGAGCGTCATCAAGGTGTTCCCCTCAAATCCATGCTCAGGGAACTTCTCGCTTCAAAAGCACAAGGGCGAGTCGGGATTGCTTGCACCAAATTCATGTTGACTTCGTTTTAGTCCGTGTTTCCCTCTGAGCCTGGAAATCGGGTTTTGGGGTTCTTCTGAGACCAGCATGCTCCCGGTTAATCCGAAGCTGTCACTAGCATAATCCTGCTCCAGCAATTTTCAAGGGTGGTCCATATGTACCTGCAGTGCTCTTGTGTGAGCCATATTGGGTGCCGACGGACCGCCCTCGGAGGGTGCTAGCTGATCATTTGTTTGTTTCTCTCCCTACTTTGGGACTCGGCCCCGGCAGGTGGCCGTGTGGACGACAACATCGAGAGTATCCGTAAGCGGTTTCAGACCTACCAGAAGGAGCGATCAAGCGCCCAGAGCCGGAGTTTGTTGCCAAGCGCGTCGATGTCGTGATCTTGTTTCTTCTGTGGGTTTCAGCGTACAGCCCATTTATAGTGAAGCTCCCCAAAGGTTAAGATATTTGAGTTTCCACTTTTGTCAAGAGAGGGATTGGATGCCGGAGTGTCAAGCAATCAGCTTGAGAGGCAGCTCTTTGGATCATCCGACTCTCCGACCCCGTCTCCCTGTTGCCCAAGAGACCGTAGAGGAGGCCCCAGTTGAGGTTCTGACCAAAAATCAACCGGGTTAAGGCACGATAAGGCCATAGGAGGAAGCCAAGGGGGTTGGAATCAACCGGGTTCAGGCCCCTTAAGGCTATAGGACGCCAGAGAGGGGTGGATGTTACAGGAGACGATGCCCATCGTTGAGAAGTACAAGGCGAAGAACATGGTCTTCACCGTGGATGGTATGCAGACCGTGGACGACGCCGTGTCCTCACCAAGGGGCAGTGAAACTTTTTCTGGCTTGCGCAGGGCCTGGAGTGATGGGGTTAAACTAGTTCTTAGGGAGAGTCAAGAATGGTTTCGTTGGGAGCGGCTGAGTGTTCGGCCAGACATGTTGCTGCTTCTCGCCCATGTTTAAGACAGTTGAGGGCCCCCAACAAAGTGAAGCCCGGAAAAAACCGTCTCTTCTGCGAGAATCCGTGCCAGGTTCAAGGGAGGTAAGAGACTTTCGTGAGTGGATTCGAGAGACATGGATCGACATGAAGACACCGAAAGCCACCAAAAGCACCGCAAGGTTTGGACCCACACCAACACCAAGCTGCGAGAGATCGCCGGGGCCTCAGTTCGTTTCGAGCCTTCAGACGGGTGATGCGATCGAGAGAGACTTCAGACCTGGGCCAGGAGACTACAGCGAAGTATGGCCGCTGAGATATCTGGAATCGAGGATTATTCGGAAAAAAGAGAGGGGAAAAAAAACGAAAATCTGATTCGGAAAATACGGCATTGGATCTGCTTGGGAATGGGAGTGGGAATGGGAAATGTGAAGCGGGAATGGGGACGGAAATTGGAATAATCTCATGACAAGCGAAAAATAGGCAACATATATTGCACCTTGCTTGCACATAGGATTGTGATAGTTTGCCTTTTCAATCAATGGAACGTGTGTGTATATATATATATATTTGAGCAGGAGCTATTCGTTTACACGAAAATTAAGAGTTGTTGATGTCTATTCGATTCAACGGGGGCCTGATCGAATGTTGTGTATAAGGAATTATGGAATATGACATCTATGTTGTATAAGTATGTTTACGGTATTATGCAATTGCAACATAAGTTGGTTTGATGATAGTATTAGCAAGTTATCATTCCAAACATAGTGACATACTATCTACACTCTTGATGTGCATAGATAGATGGTTTTTGTTTCATTGTTGCATATATTGTAATTGAAGGCTTCGAAACGATCAGTTCTTTTAGACTGGTCCACGGCATGTCTTGCCTTGTTTTGACACACCATGTGTAAGGTTGACAGGGATATCTTCAGTTTCATCTCACAGTTGGGTAAAGGTAGATGGCAGAATTTGTGCATGATATGTTCTCAGGGAATTGTGCGATGCACTTTCACCCCGGTGTGTTCAAGCGGACCCTAAATTCGGCTTCACGGCGGGTTCCCTTACAGGACAATCCGCGTGAGAATCTCTTGGGGCAAGGTGTTGGAACCCGATCCCCCCTTCCGCACCCGGAAAAAGCCTCAGATTCGTTCAGTTTTCAGCATATTAATGTTACGTCAACTGACGTGGTCACCCAATGTATCAACTTCACTGTTCTTGGCATATGTTTTTCTGTTTTTTTCCGGTTGTTCTGTTCTTTCTTGGGTGGCTGCACCAAACCACCGTTGTTTCATACCCACCCACCGAACGGTTTTTCGGCTCAGCTCCCTCCGAGACATCAGACCTCCGGCCACTCGGCTCGGGCTCGCCTGGTTTGCCCGCGGCATGCGGGCGGTGGAGAGCGCCAAGAAGATGCTGAAGGTCCGCACTGGTGGCCTGCAGGCGGAAGTGAAACGATTTGCCACAAAAAATTATCGATGCGCGCTCCACCCGCGCTTCACCCGGGGCTTAAAGACACCCGAAAAGAAGTGAAGCACCCGTTTTATTCGTAAGGCTGTGAAACTTAGTAAGGGTTCATGGTTGTCGTTGGGAAACATTACATTTTTGCTTATTGTGGTTTAGTGGTTGAAATCCAACCACTGAACTGCTAAAAATTAATTTGTTGCTCCCCTTCCAACGTCAACCAAGGGTTGACCCCTGTGTCTTTCTTCTTCTTCTTCGTCTTCTTCTTTTTTCTTGGGGGGGGGATGGGCGGTGGGATCCTTCAGGGATGAATCCCGGAGCTTCGATGCGTGTCACCCGGGGTTGACCCCGAAAAAAACTGAAGAAGCGTGCTGGATTGCCCAGCGATCGCTTTTGGTGCATCCACCTTTTTCCCCAAAGGCCAACTTGGCTGAGGCCCTGGTTCGAAACTTTTTGGGGGTGGGGGTTGTTCTTTTTGCCCTCCCAAAGTGGCCTGAATTCCAACTAAACCCAACAAATACACCCCACTATTGCTAAACAGGGGTTGACTAATCCGGGGTCACCGGTAGGGGTTCTCCAAGAATGTTTGTTTTTACCCTTCCACCAATTAACACGGAACCTGATGTTTGGGGGACCCTTTAAAGGAAAATGGTCCAAACCGGAACCCCCCGAAACGTCAGGTGCCATGTGAATTGGTGGGAGGGTTTTTGGGGTCGGTTTTTGGGCATCAAAGTCAGCACCTGGTTGGTGGTTTCCCCTTAATCTGCCTTAGGGCGGTGACTTGGATGCTGGTCAAGTTCTTGTTGGTTTCCCGGTAAACCGACCCGGAAAAGGGCACCCTCAAAGAATGTTAGTGGCAACTCAGGTCTAGAGAAACCAACTAAACAAGCGTCTCCCAAGGAAGCTCGAAGCTGGTTTTGGGATTGCCACTTTCTGTGATATGAAACAGGTGGACATTTGTCGAGATCCATGATGGACAGAAGTACCATACGGTCGGATTTCTCAAGATAGTCCCAAGGCCCAGCACTGGTACGGCTGTCCTGGTGGTTCTTCTTTCAACGTCCACAGTTGTGTCCAAGTTGCAACCAGCTCCCAACTTTTGGTTTTGAACCTCCCCTGTTGGCAAATGTTAATTGAATTATCCTTTGGGGGGATCATAAACTACGTGTCCGAAATCAATCACTTTGCTACCCTCCCTCCAATCATAGCTGGCACCTTTGGGTTTGGGAAGGTCAAGGCTTTCCTTTTGGGAAGCCCCAAAAAAACCGTCGACGAAACGTTGATCCAAAATCTGGGTGTCTTCAAATATCTCTTTGAACTCGCGGGCATGGGATTGTCCATGAGGGTAACAGTTCACAACTTGGGGACCCCAGCACGAGGGATTGTCTCACTTTTCGGGGGGGGGGTTCTTTCGGAGCCCAAAGGAAAACCGAGGGAAATTTCTTGGAGACTCCGAGGAAGGCGGGGAACACCCAATTGAGCAGCGGTTTTTAATCAAATGAAAGGGTTTATATAAAAAGGGAGCAACCACCAAAAAAAACACTGCTCAATTCAGAAAACCCGAGAAGCCAGCCTCAGCCTTCCGCGAAAAAAAGAGCCGGAGCGAAATTCCCGGAGCGATCCAACGTTCAGGTGGCCAGCGTAGCAGAGCCCGACAAGCCTGGGATTACCTATTGCGCCGGTGAGAAAACCATCCGAAGCGATGGGAGGTTTCTGTTTTTACTGCCTCCCAGCACCCTCCAAGAACGGTCCATTTGCACCCATTATGGCTCAAACAAGAGCACTGCAGGTACAAATGGACCACCCTTGGAGGGTGCTGGTCGTGTTTTTGAGAAGTTCCACTCTTTACTTTTGGGTTCCGGTCTTTACTTTTGGGTTGAGGGTTGCTCCTTTAAGAATGGCCAAGCGAGTGCTTTTTGGTGGGGATTGGCTTCCCTTTGATCTCCCCCAAGAACGCGGGCGCCTTCAAATCCTTCCAAGTGCTTAAGAATATGCTTTTGTTTTTCCCCTGTTGGTTTTAAAGGGAATCTATGACTACTGGACATATGTTATATTTTCCAGGGGTCTTAACCAAATGGAGGAATCGGTTTTTGGCCAAGTCCGAGCTCAGACGTGGATGGCGGTTGCGTGTCGGTGTCCTGGGCTGCTGGAGGCTTTGGGGAATATGCAGTGGGTGATGCTGAAGGCAATGACTCTGAGTCTCAGTTGCCCTTGACCTTTTGATTTTCCCTTGTTGGTGAATTTTAGTAAAGGTCCCAAAAGGTGAACCTTTCCTTTGGTGCATTTTGCTTGGATGTTAGGACTTTAACTTTTTGCCAACGAATGGGTGTTCCATAAAACCTCTAAGAGTTAAACTTTTAGCAAGGGAGCAGAAAGCAACCGAGTTTCATTTGATTATTTTTGGGCGAGTGAGGAGTTGACCCTGTCGGCGGTGCACAGCTATTTGAAGGTTTCGGGTGCTGGAGAGAACGCCGAAGATGACACCGCCTGGGAGATGAACGGCGTCTACGTCTTGAGCAACGATGACTTCTGGCCGGAGTATCGCCAATACCCCTCGGGGGAGGGGCGCATGATGTTCACGAGCGGCAAGTGGGTCCTCTACAACTTCGCTGCAGGGCCCGAGAATTGCTACTGGGAGGTGGAGGCGGAGTCTTTGAACGTCCCCAGCGAGGGCTGGTGTGTCAGGGAAGGCTGGGACGAGGAGAATGGATCACCTCCCAAGATTAGCAAACACGAGCTGAAAGAGGGTCACTCGGCCAAAAGCAGAGGTTGTGGCGTCTGTCCTCATTAAAGAAATCCGTTTTGGATTGTATCCATGCAGATGTACATAAGACATTTATTGACTAATGAACTAATTCATTCATTGGTTCCATCATTGATCCATTCATCCATTTCCATTTCCATTGCATTCCGTTCCGTTCCATTCCATCTACTCATTTCAGACGTCATTTCAGACGTTTGATTTCATGGCCATTCCATTGTATTCCATTCATCTCATTCCATTCCTTTCATTCCATTCAGTCGCTCCTTCCCTTCCTGGTGCCCGGCACACATAAACACGTTTTTCGGGAGTTGTTCGGCAGAAATCCTTGTGGCACATATGGCGGTGGGTCAAAAAGTAGGTACCCAAAATGGAATTTTGGCAAAAGGCAACCATGGACTAAAATCTGCGGTTTTCTGAGGGTTCAATTTTGACCCATGGCCATTTGTGACAAGCTTCTGTAATTGATGCATGTAAAGAGGGGAGTCTGGCTTTGAAGACATATCTCACATCTTCCCATGGGAGTTTCGCAAAATGGGTGGACCCGCTGTTAAAAAGGACATGGACCCGCTTTTAGCCGCCGTGCCTCCCCCCGCCCCACCCCCCCCCAATTCCCCCCCAAAACAGGGAACCCAAGAAAGGCCCCGCAGAGCCTTAGCTTTCGGGACCTAGTCTATTGCGCCTTACCACCTTACTCACATACGGTATGCTTGGTTTCGGCTTCTTGGTTTCCCCAACAAAAAAAACGACCAAAGAGGACAATCCCGTATTTATTTGAGGTTTGTTTTCCAAAAAACAACAAAGAGGGGGAGACCCTCAAAACCAAAAGCAATCAAAGAGGCAGACCCTCATCAGAGGTCAAGACGTGAAGCTCCGAAAGCTGCATCCTGACAGCCACATCCCGGCGGACCAGTACCCAGGCGGAGTGTGCCCCTTCAGCCACGGAGACATTTGCGCCCCGGATGTGGCGGTTCCCTTTTTTAGCAGCTTCCTAGATGGCTGTGGGCCAAAACCAATAGTCGGATTGGGATGTTCTGGGGGGTGTTCTGGGGGTACGGGCTTTTGACCCATGACCAGATAGCCAAGTTGCTGCTGTTTTCAGTCACTGTTGCTGGAATATATGAATGATTGTTTTCGGTGTACATCCAGAGAGCTGGACCCTGTTTTCCAACCACAGAGCTTGTTTTCAACCTCCAGTTAACCTTTTGGTTTCTGGGTCTCGGTGAGTGGTTGGAGAAATCGCCTAGATAGCCAAGTTGCCGTTTTTTTCAGTCACTGTGGCTGGTTTTTTGTATGGTAAAGTGGATGGAAAGCGAAAAAGCAACTGGCGATCCAGGCGGGTGACAAGCCTATAGGAGATGGGTATGGGTCAGAATCAAACCACCAGCGGACGGCAGGTTTTGGTGTATGTTTCCACTTACCAGGGTTCCATTTACACATTTTTGACCTACTGCCAGATGAAAAACTCGAGGCACCGTGGAGCGCATCGACGGGCTCTTCTTCGCCCCGAAGATCTCCCCCAACCTTTGGATCCCGTGCAGGGCGGGGGTGGCGGTGGAGGCGCTGCCGGAGGATGAGCAGGAGGGCGAGCGCCTGGAAAAGGCGGACCCCCGGGCCAAGGCAGCTGGAAAATGAACGGGAAAACCGGAGGAAAAGGGGTGTTTTTCTTTGGAAGGGGGGGATTTTTCTCCAATTTCTCAGCTGTTTTGAGAGTCAGGGGTAAGTCTTGGGCACTTTGTCCCGGCGGGAAACTCTTTCAACCACCATTTATGGGGTGTCATTCCTTTTGCAAGAGGAGGTGTTCGAACAATGGGTGTCTAAGCCATGGTGTAGACAGGGGGGTTGGCCCGACCCTGCCAAAGGCCAAAGCGAAGGCGAAAGCCAAAGGCAAGGCCAAGGCCAAGGCTATGGCCAAGACGATGAACGAAATGCAGGAGACCGGTGGGGAGGTCCTGACAGTGCTGAAGACATTGGTGGAGAAGGTGGGTAATGTGTCAAAATTGGTGAACCCCCAAAAGAAAGGTGATTCTTTTTCTGCTATAGTTTTCCCTTTAGCCAACCTGAAGAGGGTAGAAAGAGCCTAAGCCAAGGTGGAGAATTTGGAGGCAGAGATGAAGAAGCTGCAAAAATGAGTTTGATTTTTGGAGTGGTTTTCAAGAGAAACCCAGGGTGAGGGGGGGGTTCCAATTCCTATAAGACACACCCAAATCCGTCCGCCTTACGCGTGTCACGCAAAGGATGATCTCAAAGAGATCTGATCCGATGTCTACCGCCCATTGGTGGGACCCGGACCCGGATTTATGTTTTTACATATTTGCGCACTATCACCATGCTGACTGCTATCGCTGAGCTATCTGCCAAAGGGCAAGAAGGGTATGGGTCAAAATTAAACCAGGGGACCGCAGGTTTTGGTCCATGTTTCCATTTACCAGGGCAACCCATTTTGGGTACCTATTTTTGACCCATAGCCATCAAGTCATTCCATGCTTCGACTGCATGTTTCAGTCGGACTTGGGAAGGAAGACCCATGTTTCCACCTACCAGGGCAACCCATTTTGGAATTCCGGGTTTTTGAGCCACAGCCAAATGTTTCCCAAAATGGCATCTTGGTTTTATTGGGTCACCAAAGACTAACACCGGTTGCCCTGAGCCACATATCCTGAGCCAAAGGGAAGCCGAAGGCTTCTTTCTTTCGCCTTCGGCTGTGAGGATTGGAGAGCGAAAAGGCAATTCCGAAAACAAGCTCCTCGGAGTTATTGTTGTTGATACTGTGGATGGACGAAATCCTGCACTATTTTGAAACCATGGGAAACTATTGTTTATTTGTATTTACAGGGGGGAATCATCAGAAATAGTATTGTTACGGCTGTGCTAGATTAGTTTGGGAGAGCGGGAGATAAATGAATTTGTCCGCTTAGAGAATCGTGATTATAGCCATTACTTAGTTATATTTATCTATTGGAATTTATATATTATTTAAAATGATTTGTTTATTATTAAGTTAGAATTTGGATATTTCTTAAAAAAGAATTGCAATTATTTGTTTTTAGTATTTTTTTAATGATTTTTTTTTTCTCCGAGTGTATGATGAAGAAATTTGTTATAGTGTGTTTGATTAATTTGTGTATAGTATTTTGTATAGAATTATTAGTATGGAGATATTTAGGTTGAATTATTAATTTAGAATAATTTACATAAATTATTTAATATACAATTATTTAATTTTAAGATATTTTTATAAAATTATTAGTATGGAAATATTTGTTTATTATTTATATAGAGCTAAATATAAAATATGAAATATATCGAATTATGTGTATAGAGCTAAAGGTAGAATTAGATATGGATATTATTGATGATTGGGAATATGATTTTTTACGAAGATTAATATGGTCGAGGTATAAAAATTTGGGGCTTTGTGTTTTTTGAATGCTTATACGATTTTTTATAGGGATTGGCATGGTTGAGATGCAAAAATTTGAGAATTTTTGCATTTTTGATATATATATATAACCGATTTTCTATGGAGATTGGTGTGGTCGAGGTGAAAAAAATTCGAGGTATTTTTCTTTTTTTTTTAATAGTCTTTTATGGAGATTGGTATAACAATTTCGAGGGGTTTTGTTGTTTAGATTTTCGGATGAATTTTTTATGGGGATTGGCGTGATCGAAACGGTACGATTTTGTTGTTCGCGAAATGGTCTTTGAATTTTTTCTTTTATTTTAGCTCCAAGTAGAAAATCACAATTTTTTAATATAGATATAATATGCGGAGCGTTCTCTCGTAGCTCCGGCTAGAAAAGCATATATTTTAAATACAAACATAATATATGGAGAACACTCCTGTAACTCCGATTGGAAAATCGCAATTTTTAAATCCAAAAATAATATACGAAGTACATTCCTATAGCTCCGGCAGCACTTGCGCAGAGTAACTTGCGCAGAGCAACTAACTTGCATAGAACAATTACACAAAACATTTATATAGAGCAATTTGCACAAACTAACTTACACAGAACACATGCATAAAGCGCTTACACGGAACAACTGGCACAGAGCACTTGTGCAGAGCAATTTGCTCAGAGCACTTGCATAGACCAATTTGTATAGAGCAATAAAGCAACTTGCATAGACCAATTGAGCATATGCGTAAAGCGCTTCCATGGAGCAGCTTACGCAGAGCAACTTACTTAGAGCATTTGTGCAAAGCAACTTGCACAGAACACTTGCGTGCAGCAGCTTGCAGAGAGCAACTTGCGCGCAGCAGCCTAGAACAATGCAGCTTGCGCAGACCACTTTCGTGAGAATTCGTGCGGCGCAGTTCGTGCAAAACACATTGCACCGAGTAGACTCGTGCAGGGCCAACTTGCATAGAGCGTTACGCAGAGCCACTCGTGAAAAATAGCTTGTATAGAGCCAATTTTCATATAACCAAACTATGGCCGTCTTGTAAGCTTTGCTATTGATTGCTTTTCCTTTTGCTTGTAATTCGTTTCGAGCTTTACGAATTTTATTCTTTTTAATTTAATAGATATAAATATATAGAATCGAACATTACCATATTTCTTCTCGTAGGATAATGAGATGGAGCTCTCACATCCATATACATTAAGCATCGCCGCGTGCAGATACGCTCGCCGTAGCGATGTAAAAAGGTGTTTCCGCGGCTGGATGAGCACCTAAGAAAAAATGTGTTCGAGCCAATTGTCCTCTAGTTTTTTTCTTTTTATTGTTTATTTGTGGTTTATTTGCCGGAAAGACTGGTTCGTTAGTCTCCTTTATCTTTTAACTCCATTCGGAAAACCGTACTAAATGTGCACTCTGGGTTTATTTATCTCGTTTTGTTTCTCTTTATTTATTTTTCATTCTATTTATTTCCTATTTTTTAATTAAAAGAATATATTTATCTCTTGCTATTTCCCGCCCTTGGATACCTAACGCAGCTTTCTAAACGGGCATTTTGCGCTTTTAGTCCAGAAGACAGTAGCACGGCTTTTTAGGAAGACATATATATCTATAGAATCGTTCAATATCCAAATTCTATAAAAATAACGAAAAAAACATAAAATTCATTCAACCTAAAAATAAATGGGAAATAAATACATCCATCTATTTAAAAAAATATACTAGGCATTTAGACTATAAAGGGAAACAAATAAATCCGTCCATTCATAAAGCCATGCCAAATATCCAAGCTCGGAATAATAAGAAACAAACAAAGGAAGATAAAACAATTCAGATAAACCCTTTTTGTTCGGAGAGCCGTATTAACGGGCTAGGAAACAACGAGAGACGAATAAATCGATTTATTTGTTTCTCTTTGTTATTATGGATTTATGTGCGGTGTAATGCTAATATTCGATTAGTAAAGGGTATTAAAATAATAAAATATTTTTCTTATTATGATTTATATCTATTGTTTAAAGGGACCAGAATAATAGAAAGTTGTTTTAGTCAAGGGCAAAATTCAAAAAACAACCACAAAGCAAATTTATACTAAAAAAATAAGTTCGGGCAATATCCCCAACAACACCATACCCTCCCAGAATCCTCGTGGAACGCCCCGGTACCATCCTCACCGCCGGTGTTGCTAAGGATGCCGCCTTGTAAAGCAAAGCTACGAGCTCGCCAATCGGGGCCCGATCGGGCCTAATGGTGCAATCGGAGCCCGATCGGGGCCCGACGGTGCAATCGGGCCCGGATCGTCCCGTGGTGCAACCCCAGCCACCCATATTATAGCTCAACGCCGGTTTTCCTTAGCATGCGGATTTCAACTGTATCTAGTTGGGGCCCGATTGCACTGTCGGGGACCGTCCGATTGCACCGTTTGGGCCGATCGGCCCGATTGCGCCATCGTGCCCCGATTGGATCAGTCGGGCCCCGTCAATTATACTAAGCTGGCATCGCCTAGTTTTGCTTTAGATACAGTTGCAATCCGCATACTCTGGAAAACCGGCGTTGAGCCATAATATGGGTGGACGATCGGGGCCCGATTGCACCGTTGGGCCCCCGGGCCCCGATCGGGCGTGGGGCCATTATCGCCGTCGGGCCGATCGGGCCCCGATTACACCGTCGGGCCCCGGTCGGGGCCCCGTCAATTGTACCAAGCTGGCGTCGCCTAGTTTTGCTATAGATATAGTTGTAATCCGTATGCTAAGGAAAACCGGCGTTGAGCTATAATATGGGTGGCTGGGATTGCACCACGGGACGATCGGGCCCCGATTGGACTGTCGGGCCCCGATCGGGCCCCGATTGCGCCGTCGGGCCCCGGTGGGGCCCCGACAGCGCCGTCGGGCCCGATCAGGGTCCGACTCAGTCGAGCCCCGTCAATTGTACCAAGCTGGCGTCGCCCCCTCGTCCGGAGCACGACGGGCTGGTGGAATTCTGGTGGAAACCTGGTGGAATCCTCGTGGAACCTTACCTCAAACCACTTCGGATCACCCTGCAGCCCTCGCAGAACCTAGTCAAACCCTGGCAGAATTCTGATGGAAATCTGGTGGACCCCAGCCCTCGAAGAAAATTGCTGGAACCCTGGTGGAAGCCTTGTGGAACCTTACCTCAAACCACCCCGGACCTCCCTGCAGCCCTGGTGCAACCCTTGTGGAACCTCACCTCAAACCACCCAGACCACCCCGCAGCCTGGAACCTGGTGGAACCCTGGCGGACCTCGTGAAACCTTCCTCAAACCCGCAGCCCTTGAAGAAATTGGTGAAACCCTATGGAACCCTCGTAGAACCTTACCTCAAACCAGCCCACCACCCCGCCCTTGCAGAACCTGGTGGAACCCTGGTGGGACCCGAACCTTGGTGGAACCCTGATGGCACTCTGGTGGAACCCCTGGTGGAACCCCTGGTGGAACCCTGGTGGAACCCTGGTGAACCTTAGCTCAGGGTCGCCCCGAACCACCCCGGAGCCTATCTGGGCTAAGATCCCAAAATTTTAAGCTGTTGGGGAAAAAACCCCCCCCCCAAACAATCACCCAAAATCCGTGTTGGCCCCAAAATCCAGCCCGCTGAAACTCTGAAATTTGAAAACCATCCCCAGCCCTAAAACTGCAAACTCTTTATTCATCCGTGCTAAAAAAATGCAAAAACAACAATCAGGACAAGGGTACCCCTCACAGACCCCCACTGAACCACAATAATGTGATTGTTTTAGGGGACCACAATAGTGGCAAGCCCCCAGCCCCCCCTCCCAGAAAATACACAATCAGTTGCTTTGCTCAAAAGCATTCCCCTTTCAATTAGTGGCCCACTTGCTTAAAAGCAGCCCCTTTCAATTGGTGGCCCACTTACTTAAAAGCATTCCCCTTACAATTGGTTGCTCAACCATAGAACCCAAAGCCAGCTGAAACTCTGAAATTTAAAACCATCCCCAGCCCTGAAACTGCAAACTTTTATTA